AAATATGGTATAAATAAATGTAAAACTTTTCGTTAATGAAATGTGTTCGTTTTAATGATTGAGTATTTTGTAATGAACGATATTGTCTTGGTGTTTTTCTCAAATAGTATGAAGCCTTGATTAGATAAGAAAAAAGAATCTGTTATTTATTTAATATCAGATATACGAATTTTTGAATATAGATTTAGTCGTTAATTTCGTAAAAAATCTTTAAAAGTTCGTATCATCAAACATACGTTTCTGGTTTATGTTTAATCTATTTAAAGATTCAATATTTTTGTCTTGTGTTGATGGCATCAATGAAAATGTGTCTGTTGTATGTGATAAACTAGCAGATTGATCTGAATTACTACTCATATCACTGTAGGTAATTGTACTAGCTGAATCTGAAAGAGTATTCAGTTTATTACTAGCTAAACGTTGATTTTTTCGACGATAATAAACAGATAACGCAAGACAAATCATCATTGGTAAGTATAAAAGTATAATAGGTATGCCAAAAGTAAGGTAAGTAACAGGATTGTAAGATGTTTGTGATAGTTTAGTTGATGTAGACCAAGAGAACGATGAAGCTTCAGTTTTATCAGAAATAGGTTTTGATTTTGGAATTGCTGTTGATATTAATTTTGTCATAATAGTAAACGGTATGATATCTTTTTTGACTGTTACTTTATTACTAGCTGTTGATGATATTAGATGAATTGTTTTCAGTAAATGAGTGGTTGTCATGTTGACTGCAGATATATTTGTTATATTATGCATCATTTTTTCAGTGGATTCTGGTGTTATCTCTGTCATTGTTAATGGTGTCATATTCGTTGTTGTATCAAGCTTTGTTAACGAACTCTTTTCTATTAAGGTTGTATCTTGGATATTTCCTTTACTTGTGGTTGATATCACTTCAAGTAGCGTAAATATACTTGTTGCCATTGTTTTTGTTGATAATACTGTTATTGTAGTCGTAGATATTTCAGTAAATGCTGTTGTCATTGTTTGAGTTGTTAGTAATATTGTTGTTAACATCGTAGCTTCTTTCGTAGACTCAGTTGTTATGGTTTCAGTTGCTGTTACTGTCGTAGTTATCTTCGTAGACTCTGCTGTCGTGATTTCAGTTGTTGGTAATGTTGTAGTTGTGATCGTAGTTATCTTCGTAGACTCTGTTGTCATGATTTCAGTTGTTGTTACTGTCGTAGTTATCTTCGTAGACGCTGTTGTCGTCGTCTGAGTTGTTGGTAAGGTTGTAGTTGTGATCGTAGTTGTCTTCGTAGACGATGTTATCTTTGTCTGAGTCGTTGGTAAGGTTGTTGTTGTGATTGTAGTTATCTTCGTAGACTTTTTTGTCATTGTCTTAGTTTTTGGTAATAATGTTGTGGTAATCGTAGTTATTCTTGTAGACTTTTTTGCTATTACTTTATTTATTGATTGTGTTCGTTTTCCCATTGATTTTGATTTTTTTGTGTTCGTAGCTATAGTTGTTTCAAACTCATAGTCAAACAGGGCCTAAAGACAGTGTCAAAATGTGTGACATAGAAATTTGTTTCTTTTTCCTTTCAAAGGAGACACGCAGATCAGAGTAATGTCATAGACAGTATCATAGACTGTAATTAACAATAGAGAATCTTCTTATTGATAGTTTAAGTAATCGACTCGATTGTATTTCATGACTTAATCTTATAAAGAGTAAGCTAACAATTTTTTATTGCTTTAAACTTGCTAACTTTTATATTCCACTTCGTTGTTGCTGTAGATTTGCAAGTGTTTTCTACTATGATTTTTGTTATTTGTATTAACATGAACGATCTAAATATAGTATTGCAATATCACTGTGGTCGATATTTACAATAGTGTGATAGATATATAAATCTATATCTACTGAAATATGTTATTTGTTTCGTCAAAAATGATATTTATGTTTTGTTGAAAAAAAAGTTATGGCTCGTTGGAAAGAAAGTATTTTGATTATTCATGATGATAGCAATTGTATCAAAATACCTGTTTTGTAGATCCGATGGTTACACATATTTCAGTTTTCACTGGAATGCCTGTATAATTGGCGCCATGTATGCTATACTCAGTAAAGCCCATACCATAATCACATGGAACATCTATTATCAATTGATAAAAATTAATAGGCGAAAAATAGTTTGCAATCACAGGTGGTTTTACTGTTGTTGACTGCAATGCAAATATTATCCATATGACCAATTCCGGAAAATACACATTTATTGTTGACTTAATATATTGATCTGTAACTTGTGTGATGCTATAAAATTCTATACTTATCATGAGATGAAATTTGTGTGATGTTCGCACTCCTGTTGGAAATAAATTTCGAATTTTAGGACGAAGTTTCCTAACGAATGGTTCAAGCAACGTATCATTATAAAAATTGAACATTACACATTGATAATTTTTTACACAATTATTTATTTCTATCCGATCACTAAGCATAATAGAACAACGGATACAATTTACATATTTATCGGGTATATCATCTCTGAAAAAATTGTGTCTATAGTCGTGGCAGTCAGATTGTTGTTTAAGGTTTGCGTGATAGAAATCAAAACATGAATTTGCTACTGAATTGATTTCTTGTATGGTCATACATATCATCATTAAATGAATAATAAAAAAATGATCCAATAATAACATTATATACAAATAAATTGAATATATTTAAAACAAAAAAATGAATGGTAACTAAGATGTTTACTCTCTATTTCATAATAGAAAGTAAAAATGTTAAATCCTTTACAGATCTAACTATAATCAATAGGGATGAGTGTGGATGTAGTAGAAGATCTTGTTATCATTTCTCGCCCACGCACATATAAACCTACTCTTTCAACTTCCTGGACAATGCCAAGTACTTCTACTAGCATGAATATCGAATATCTGTAGATATTATGTACGATAAATATTGAAAACTGGTTTTTTTATCGAGAAAAAACGTTTTATTGAATAAAACAAAATAAAAATGTTTGAAAAAAAAACGCAAGGAATGACTAGAAACCAATTGATGTTTGTTGCTCAATGAGCTGGTTGATTTGTAAACATTTTCGGTAAATATAACGTAAGAAAATGAGTAAGATCAACAAATAATTGATGTTGTTGATTTGTTTGAAATTCAAAACGAATCTGTGCTTTATTTTTATTCGAATCATCAATTAATGGTACTAATTTAATATCCATTGATAAATAAATAGGTTTTTCTAAATGATGATCTTTATCGTCTTTTAATTTATAACTAATTAATTTTTCACGTTCAAATGTAGATATATCTTTATGTTCATTTTCAATACTTCGTTTATGTTTACGTCGATCTTGCCATGTTCGATAATTAACCTATAAAACAAAATAATATTTATAAAAAAAAAATAAACAATTTATAATTTACTTGAAAATAAATTTTTTCGTTTGAATAAGATATACCTGTTGTTGGTGTTGATATATATCCATCATCATCATCTGTACGACGACGTTTAGCTGAAAGTGTTTCATCTAATTGTTCAGCTAAAGTATTGGGTGTTAGTTCAACGGATGGACTTGCTGGTCGTTTTTTACTGATCATTTCATAATTAATTTGTTCAAATAATAAAATATCTTTAAGAATAGATTCAACATGTAATTGAAATTCTTCTTCATCTATTTGATTGACAACAAATTCGATTGTGTTCATTGATTGTGATTGATGATAATGTGGTTCATGAACGAAATTCTTTTGTGGTAAAGATTTACGTGTTAAAATTAATGATAGACCCCATGATTTATTTTGACGTTTTTTAGCCGATTCATCAAGGATTTGAATTGCTAATAAACATTCTTCTTGAAATTTCAACCAATTTGTTTGTGATATATGAGATGTTAAATTATGATCATGTTCAAATGGATCAGATATTGAAAACAGATTTGTCGTTGAAGTTTTTAATTCAAGTTTACCTGTCCACGGTGATAATTCATGTTGACTTGCATTAAATGTTGAATAGAATTTGAAAAAATTATGAAGTAATTGTTCTAAAATAAACAGAATATAATAGAGATGTAGAATTATTCGTAGGATATAAGTATCTTAGAACAGAGTAGAGTAAGAGGGAACAAGAATAGACAACAGTTCATAAGATGAGACTAAGACAGCAGAGACGGGCAACTCCAGGGGTAAGCAACTCCAACTTCATCTCGTTTTTCACAACTCCAGAGTTGCCCATCTCTGTAAAACAGCGAATTTCATGGCTAGGTACGTCTCTGAACAAGACACAAGTTTTGTGATAGACACGAACTGAACTTTGTTGCTAGAATGGCAGATTTGAAGTCTTAGTTGGCACGGTGCTTTTTTGTATATTCATAAATCCTTTCGTTTAGTTTCTTGGTATTACTCCGAACATTTTCTTTCTAATGCTAAACTCCTTTTCTAATGAAAATAATCGATTTTGTATTTATTTACCTATAGAAACATCTGAAATATTTCTTTCGATTTGATTTAAATCCGGAATTGAACAATTCCATGGACCATATTGTCGTTTATGATCTAAACGAAATTCATAAATGAAAAATGAATATGTTTTCTAAACAAACTATCTGCTTTACTTGCACGTTCAGCTAATGATTGAACACTTGGTAATTGTTTATCATCTAGTTGTAATGTACAAACAATCATCCAAAAAAGTGTATAGGTATTAAATCGATGTCCACGTCCAAGAAGATCTTTTTGTTTAATCCATAATCGAATTGTACATAATAATGAACGTAATTTAGGTTCAAATAAAAGAAAATATCGAACTAATTCCGTATTAGCTACTGCAAGACTTTAATATAAAAAATATAAATTAAAAAAATTAGTTTTAAATTTTTATCAAAAAAACTTACTGATTATTAATGGATAATTCACAGAAAATTTTTTGTTGTTTATGACAAAATCGAACAACTGGACAACGAGCTTGTGCAATACGTTGTACATTACATACATAAGCTGCATAAGAACGAAGTAAACGACGAATATAATCAAGTCGATCAGGAATAGACATTTGTAAAAGATCATCAGCTGAATGAGAGGTTGGTGGAAGTGGAGGTGATAATGATCGAGATGATGATCCATCACTTGCATTTCGTTTAAACTAGTTGATTAAAATAAGAAAATAAAGTTTCTTTATTGTCAATTTATAATATATAAAAATTAATTATTTCATATACCTTATGTTGTTGTTGTATATCTGCATCATTACTACAACTATTTTCATCGATTGTCATCGATTCTCCACTATTATTTGATGATAATATACGTTGTGGTTCAATATATGTCTCATTTAGAATAAGAACAAAATCCATATCAGATAAAATTGTTGCTAAACCATTAGCCATTGATCCGATTAAACATAATTTCGCTTCTAGAAAAAAATTGATTAAAAACTTTTTTTAAGTCAATTAAATATCTTACCTGGAAAATATTTAATAAACATTACTTCTAATTCTTTAAAAAAATCTTCTCGTATTTTTAATATATCATCTGTAATCTTTTCTTGTTGAACAATTGCTACAGCTTGTTCATCAATCTAAATTTTATCGATTTTATTTACATTAATTTTACTTAAATGTCTTACTGTTAATTTACTGTTTAAAAGTTGAATTAGAATTCCATGTTGTTCAATTTCTTTTTCTTTATTAATATTTAAAAATTCTTGTTCACTTATTAACATTCGTTTAGATTTAAATTCATGATGATTACGCTGTTTTACTTTTAACCGTGTTCCATCATGTAATTTATATTCTTCAGAATATTCTAAACATTTATTGGCTGAATCGACACTTTCATATTCAACAATAGCATAAACATGCTTCAAAAATAAACATAAGTTATTAAATTCATAAATTTATAATTTCTACTAACTTTTTCTTTATCAATAAAGCAATTTTTTATTTGTCCAAAACGTGAAAAATAATCTTTAAGAAGATTTACATCATGTTCACGTTTAATATTCGATACATAAATACTTGATTGTTGTGAGGTTTCAAAACGTTCACGAGCAGTCAGTAACGCCTGATGTCGTTTACCATTCGTATGATCAGCTAGAACATGTTCTACAAAAAAACCCACTATGATAATCAATAAATCAAATTTATCTAACAAACCATCAGGTACTTCAATACGACATAATTCACAGCGAAGAACCATCTTTGATAACTTTAAAATATATCTGTAAAAGCAAAAAGACTTTTATTCATTTTCGTTTTAAAACACAATAACCAATGAACACGATAGATGTCGTTCATTTAAAAAAATTTATTTCTTCGTTTTTTTATTCAAATAAATTTAGAAAACTAATAAAAAAAAGAATTTATGAATGAAAAAATTTTTTTTTATTGATATTTGTGGTTTTCAATTGATGAATGAATCAATATGAATATAAAAGAAAGAAAGGAAGAAAGAAAGAAACCAGAAAAAATATTTGTTTATTTGTTTTTTATCAATACATTGGAGAGATAACTTTGTATCTTGACAGAATAAATTGTTTTTCAATACTTGTTTTAATTGCTTATCTTAGATTATTATCTCTTCGTTCGTTTTCTCAATAAATATATACTCCTAGCGCATTGCTGTTCAATACGTCAACAAGGTAAGAATTTTGTCTGCCTTAAGATAAGGTCAAACGGTTATACTATAACATTGTTAGCACATACATATATATATACACATGCATATATGTATATCTGTATTCCATTGATTCCGTTACTTGACCTAAGAGAAATCATTTGATGAGAATAGTTCAATCAAATGTCTTGTTTTGATATCATTATTTAGTATTTATTTTTATATTCATATAAATCAAAATAGGATTTTTATAAAAAAAAAGGCCGATATTTTATTTATATACATTTAAGATGTCTGATAGATTTAGTTTGTAGTCCAATAGATAGCAATAAAATCTAATTTATTATTGAATGTATGTTCAATTAATTCAGCTTTATTTAGGCTTAAGAATATTTCATATCGTAATTCCCCATCAAGCAGAAATTAATCAATTCTTTTCTCTTTGAACTAAGAGCATAAAAGAATTTCACCAATTTCATTAACTTTAACTTCTATAATGAATGACCCCACGCTGTTCATTAAAAATTTTTTTTTTCTTTCGAATAAAACGAGTCTGATATTGTAACGTTTATCATAACAGAAATCTAAATAATCATCTTCTTTTGCTAGATAATATCGATATTTTATATGAAATTGTTCATATCTATAATAATACTTGTCTACTATCAATTTCATGTGTGTATGAGCAATACATATATATAGAGAAGTAATTATGTAGGATAGTGAGCTTCTTAGTTCTATCTATGTTTCGCCTAGCAAATATATACAACGGAAGTAAACTGTACGAAACATCTGCTACTATTTCCGAAAAACATGTTGCTGCATTATTCTATAACAAAGTGGTTTATACAAAGCATAGTTTGCATCTAATATATTAATAAATGAGATAAAAATCTTATGTTTGATTTGTAAAAAACATTTTTCATTTCTTGAATATTAATTTAATTATTCATATAATGATCCCATAAAACAAACATTTATACAAAATCAATCATAATTTATAAAGTCTACATATAGCCTAGGGTATACGTATATATATTTCTCGACATTCTTTATAAATAATCTCATGTGTATAACTAGAAAGTAATAGTTTGAAAATGATTGAATACATTTAATATAAAAAAAACTGCTTTTCTTGTAGTTATTAGTTTCTTTCATACATATTGTTTATATAAAAGAATGTATTGCTATTATTACAAGCAAAAAAAACTATATGATAGAAAAAGAACAACCATGACACAAAAAATAAATATGCTGTGCAGCAGCAGCTAGAAAAGTAATCATTTGGTGGTACCATTTAGTATTTCTCTCTCAGCTAAAGAGAGAGAGCGAATAAGCAATAGACACACAGCGAGGGAGAGAGAGAAAAAAGAACGAGAAACAAACAGAACACAAACGAGACGAACGCGAGAGAAAAAGAGGCATTATCAACACCACCACCATCACCACTATTACCTTTGAACGGGAAAGAAAGAATAGAAGAACGGCGATGAACGCAAATGATTACCAACAACACCACATCTGCAAGTAGAAACAAGGATAGATAAAATGTGAGCGATATTCTTTTTCTTTACCCTGTAGATAACCGTCTGACCGATGGACAAGCGAATAAAAGCATACACTCGAAATAGAAAGAAAAGAGAAAAAGAGAATATACACCATAGCTTCTATACATAGGCCAACAATTCATTGTGAGTTGTTTAACGTTAAAAGGAGAATGTAATAAAGACAGCAGTAGTAGAAGCAGCAGCAATGGTCGATACAGCATCCTACCATCAACAACAAACTTAGTAAGCTCAATAAAGAAAAACAAACCCTTACACTAATTAATGAGAATTTTTTTTTCTTGATTCATAAATAATTAAAACTATGTAGTTATATTAAAGCGAAACAAAAAAAAAGATCAAATTGATCTATTAAGTTTGTCTGTCCAAGAACACATTCTAAATATCATCAACTCTTTATTGGACATACTCATCTTCTTTTATGATATAAACATCCCTGTATATATATATATATAGAGTTACAATATTTATATTATTATATTTAGTTTGGACATGTCGGCAGCAACCGCTAATGGTATCCTTCATACTCATACTAATGGTCATGGTTCTCAACCAGATCAAATTCCATTTAATCTCGATCAACTACCAGCTGGTTTTGATTTAGATGGTCAAGATGAATGTAATTCATCGGCACGTATGTTCGAACGAACACGTATTCAAGTTCTAGCTGATGAACGTGGTCATGTGCAAAAGAAAACATTTACAAAATGGGTTAATTCACATTTAACTCGTGTTGGTTGTCGAATTAATGATTTATATACTGATTTAGGCGATGGACGAAATTTAATTCGTCTTTTAGAAATTTTAAGTGGAGAACGTTTACCTAAAGCAACACGAGGAAAAATGCGAATACATTGTTTAGAAAATGTTGATAAAGCTATTATGTTTTTACAAGAACAACATGTTCATTTAGAAAATATTGGGTATGTAAAAAAATCATCTTAACAGAATTGTGTAGGTCAATTAATAGGAGATTTGGTTCAATAAGAAAACATGAAGTACGCCTCATTTAAATTACTTTATACAAATCAATCTATGAAAGATAAAATTTGAGAACTAGTTTAGAATTTTGTTTATTATTCTAGAAAGATACAAATGACAGGCACTTACATATAGATAATTGGTAGACAAAGCTTGAGAAATTCTCTTCCAGTAACTTTTAGAACTTCAATGAATTGATTCAAATGTCATGTTTTCTTTTAGTTTACATAGACTAAGGCTTCTTTCATTAATTGATCGATAATAGAGAACGAGTTTGTCTTAAAAGATTAGAAAACGATAGCTTCTATAAGGAAGAATTTTCATATATTTTAGTGCACATGATATTGTCGATGGTAACTCATCGTTAATTCTTGGTCTTATATGGACAATAATCCTTCGTTTTCAAATACAAGATATAACTATAGAAGAATATGAATCAACTGAAACAAAATCAGCTAAAGATGCATTATTACTTTGGTGTCAAATGAAAACAGCTGATTATCCTAGTGTAAATGTACGAAATTTTACATCATCTTGGAAAGATGGTTTAGCATTTTGTGCATTAATACATAAACATCGTCCTGATCTTATACCACAATATAAAACTTTAACCAAAGATAATCCAAATCATAATTTACAATTAGCATTTGATATATGTGAAAAACGTTTAGGAATAAGTAAATTACTTGATCCTGAAGATGTTAATGTTGAATATGTTGATGAAAAATCTGTTATAACATATATTGTTACATTATATCATTATTTTTCCAAAATGAAAAATGATAGTGTACAAGGTAGACGTTTAGCTAAAGTTGTTGGTTCAGCACTTGATGCAGAAAAAATGGCACATGAATATGAACGTTTAGTATCGGATTTATTAGCATGGATTGAACAAACAATACGTACATTAAATGATCGACAATTTCCTAATTCACTTGGACGTGTACAAGAAAGACTTGTTGATTTTAATCGTTATCGTGTTATGGATAAACCATCGAGATTTGCTGAAAAAGGAAATTTAGAAGTTTTATTATTTACATTACAAAGTAAAGAACGTGCTAATCAACAAATACCATATCAACCACGTGAAGGAAAAATGATATCGGATATAAATCGTGCTTGGGAAAATCTTGAACGTGCTGAACATGAAAGAGAATTAGCATTAAGAGAAGAAATTTTACGACAAGAACGTTTAGAACAATTAGCAACAAAATTTAATCGAAAAGCTGGTTTAAGAGAAAAATGGTTAACAGATAGTGAAAAATTAGTAGCAAGGTAAATATATAAAAGATTTTGTTAGTTTTCATACAAATAATTGAGAAGAGCTTGTCTCAATGACTTAAATAAATATGAGAACTAAAAGAATATTTCAGTATGAAAAGAGTGATTGGTCAAAATCAAATATGAATGCATCTATATACTAAGGTATTTGAAATTTTTGCTATATGTGTACCATTCAATTGACAGCTTATAAAAAAACCAGTCAAGCTAAGTGAGCTCCAAATCAAATAGAGTTTTTCGCGAAAATCTAGACATCCATAATTTGGCGCACACTTAACTTGACCTGAAAAAAACAAGTATTTGCTATTATTGCTTATCGCTGTGAAATTAAAGTAATCTGTAACAGATGCCTATACAATACTTTATATCAACGAGAAATTTTTGAAATAATGTAAATAAATATATTTTTTTTCTTCTTCAGCGATCAATTTGGTACAGATTTAGCATCAGTTGAAGCGGCATTTAAAAAACAAGAAGCTATTCAAACAGATATAGCTGCATTTGAAGAACGTCTACAAAATATAATGGCAATTGCAAATGAACTTCGAACAGAAGATTATCATGATTACGGAACAATTGAAGCACGAAAAAAAAATGTTGAAATGCATTGGGAATATTTAGTTGGTTTAGTTACTAAACGACGACAATGTCTCGAACTTGCATATAATTTACAACGTGTTTTTCAGGAAATGCAATATATTTATGAATGGATAACTGATTTAAAATGGAGATTAAAATCTGATGATATTGAAAGATATATTATGTCGGCTGATGATCTTCTTCAACGACATTCATTAATTGAAGCTGATGTATTTGTTATTGATGAACGTTTACAACGAGCTATAGCTGATGCCGATGAATATCTTAGTCCTGATGCTCATATTGAAGGATATCGTCCAGCAACATCCGAAGAAATTGAAATACGTATACATAATTTACAAAAAGCATATGAAGAATTAATTGAATTAGCACGTAAACGTCGTGATATACTTGAACAAGCTAAAATCTTAGCGAAATTTTATTCGGATGTTGGTGATGTTGAATTATGGATTGATGAAAAACAACAAACAATGACATCACCTGACATGGGTCATGATGTTAATTCAACTGATAGTTTAGTTGGTAAACATAAATTAGTTGAAGCTGATATGACTTCAAGATATGGTCAACTCGATAATTTAACAGGTCAAAGTGAAAATATGATAAAGCAAGGACATTTTGCTGCACCAAGAATTAATGATCGTTTGGATATGCTTAAATCAAAATGGAATAATTTACTTCAAATATCATCAAATCGTGCTGATAATTTAAAACAAACACATGATTATTATCAATTCTTTGCTGATGCTGATGATACTGATACATGGATGCTTGATATGTTAAAACTTGTATCAAGTGAAGATATTGGTCGTGATGAATTATCCGCTCAAACATTATTTAAAAAACATAAAGATACACAAGATATATTAGATAATTATCGTCAAGCAATTGATAATTTAAAAACAAATAATCTTCAAACATTAACACCAGAAAAACAAGCATCATCCGAAGTTCAACAACGTCTTCAATCAATTGAACGTCGTTACACAGAATTACTTGAATTATCAAAATTACGTAAACAAAAATTACATGATGCTATATCATTATTTCGTTTATTAGCTGATGCTGATAATGTTGAAGCATGGATTGAAGAGAAAGAACGATTTTTAGCAACATTAGATCCAACACAAGTTAATGATATTGAAGAATTAGAAGTAATTAAACATCGTTTTGATGGTTTTGAACGTGATATGAATTCAACAGCATCGAAAGTTGCTATTGTTGGTCATCAAGCACGTACATTAGTACAAAATGATCATCCAAATTCACAAGAAATTTTAGATCGTATTAATAAATTAAATCATAATTGGGCACAATTAAGACGTTTAGTTGATAAAAAACGTGAAGATTTAAGTTCAACATTTGGTGTACAAACATTTCATATTGAATGTAATGAAACAATATCATGGATACAAGATAAGATTCGTATTGTACAATCAACTGAAGATCTAGGTAAGATTAATACTTGATTGAATGGGAAAATGACATGTGTGGGTATGGGTGTGGACATCTATCTTCTCTTAACCCACACCCACCCTCAGATACAGTAAAAAACATTATATTCTGAACCTTGAATCGATCCGCCAGACGTATCTTACTTTTTCTGGTCATGCTGTCAGATGTTCGTAAAGAGTGGTACGAAACGACATACACCCGATTGAATCCATAGATATTGCATTTATTAAGAACATATTGATTTTTTTTTTGATAATTAATTCTAGGTCGTGATCTTGGTGGTGTAATGACAATGCAACGTCGTTTAAGTGGTTTAGAACGTGATATGGCTGCAATACAATCTAAACTTGATCAACTTGAATCCGAAGCATCAAAACTTGAAAAAGATCATCCAGAAGACGCACAAGATATTCGTAATAAAGTTGGCCAAATAAATTCAGTTTGGTATGAATTAAAAGAAATTTTACGTCGTCGAGAAGAATCAATGGGTGAAGCAGCTGAATTACAAAAATTTCTTCGTGATCTTGATCATTTTTCAGCATGGTTAACACGTACACAAACATCAGTTGCAAGTGAAGATATACCAAATTCATTAAATGAAGCTGAACAATTATTAAATCAACATCAAACAATAAAAGAAGAAATTGATCGTTATGGTCCGGATTATGCTCAAATGAAAGATTATGGTCATCGTGTTATACGTGATGCTGATACAACCGATCCTCAATATATATTTTTACGTGAACGTTTAAATGCACTTGATGATGGTTGGAATGAACTTGATCAAATGTGGCATCAGAAAAAAAATATGTTAACAGAAGCAATGCAATATCAAATGTTTGCAAGAGATTCAAATCAAGCTGAAATCTTATTAAATCATCAAGAAGCTTATTTAGCTCGAGAACGTGAACAAAAACCTAAATCATTTGATGATGTTGAAGTATTAATTAAAAAACATGAAGATTTTATTACAACCATGACTGCAAATGAAGATAAAATACAAGGTGTCTGTTCATTTGCTCAACGTTTATGTCAAGAAAATCATTATTTAGGTGATCGTATTTTATCACGTGCTTCAATTATTAATGATCGTTATTCATCGAATCGTCAATCAGCTCTTGAAATGCATGAAAAACTTCAAGATTCACTTAAATATTTTCAATTTGTTCAAGATTGTGATGATTTGAAAGAATGGCTTGATATGAAATCATTACAAGCACAAGATGATACATATCGTGATACAGCAAATATTCATACAAAATATCTTCGTCATCAAGCATTTCAAGCTGAAATTCTATCAAATAAAGAACGTTTACTTGCATTAAAAGAACATGCTGAACAATTAAAATCTGAACATCCACAAATAATTAATTCATCGATTATTGATCAACGTATTCATGAATTAGATGATTCATGGGTTAAATTAGAAGATATAACACGTGATAAAGGTGAACGTTTATTTGATGCTAATCGTTCGAAATTATTTCAACAATCAATTACGAATCTTGATGAATTTATGTTTAATATTGAAAAACATTTATATGCTGGTGAATCAACTACAACCGCACCACCATCATCATCTGATCAAATTGATAGTCAAGTTCTTTCAACGGGATTAGTAGCAGCAGCACCATCAACAACAACAGCAACACTTGAACCAGTAGAAAATAATTTAACAGCAACAAATCTTTTATTACTTAAACAAACAACAATTGAAGAAGAATTATTAAAACGTCAACAACAAGTTGATGAATTACGTGTTCAAGCTGAAAAATTAAAACAATTAGAACCAGAAAAATCCGAAGAAATTGATACAAAACGTTTACAAGTTGAAGAAAAATTTTCTAAACTTCTTCAACCATTAGAACAAAAAAAATTACGTTTAGAACAACAAAAACATCTTCATCAATATTTACGTGATATTGAAGATGAACAAATATGGTTAAGTGAAAAACGTCATTTATTACAATCCTATTCGGATTTAATCTTTAATAATAAACAACAAACATTAATGAATGTACAACTATTAAAACGTAAAAATGAATCATTATTAAAAGAAATTGAAAACCATGAACAACGTCTTCTTGAACATTTAAATAATGAATGTACACGTATAAGTCAAGATTATCCAGCACGTGCCGATGAATTTCAAGAACGTTTAGAAAATTTATCGGATAATTATATTCAATTAAAAGAAACAATTAAACAACGACGTGAACATTTAGAATTATTAGAAAATCTTTATCAATATTATTATGATTTAAGTGAAGCTGAAGCATGGCTTGGTGAACAAGAATTATATATGATGAGTGAAGAACGTGGTAAAGATGAATTAGCAACACAAACATTTATACGTAAACAACAAACAATGGATCAAACAATTGAAAATTATACGGATATATTACGTGAATTAGATAATAAAGCAAAACATTTAATACAAGATTTAAATCATTCAAGTTTAACAAAAGATTTTGTTCATGATCATCAAGATTTAATTAATAAACGACAAACACAATTAGATAAATTATATGCTAGTTTGAAAGATTTATCTGTTGAAAGACGACAACGTTTAGAAGAAACATTAAAATTGTATCGTCTTAATCGAGAAATCGATGATCTTGAACAATGGATATCGGATAGAGAATTAATTGCTGGTTCACATGAACTTGGACAAGATTTTGAACATGTTAATATGTTACTTGATCGTTTTGCTCAATTTGCACAAGAAACAGAACAAATTGGTAATGAACGTTTACAACATGCTAATGATATGATTGATTTATTAATATCAAATGGTCATATTGATTCAGCTGAAATTGCCGAATTAAAAGATACATTAAATGAATCCTATCAAGATCTATTAGAAATGATTGAAACACGTTTACAATCATTAAAAGCATCATGGGAATTACAGAAATTTTTACATGATTGTAAAGAAATACTTTCAGCTATGCAAGAACGTAAAAATACAATACCAGATGAAATTGGTCGTGATCAACAAAGTGTCCAACAATTATTACGTAAACATCAACAATTTGAAACAGAATTAGTTCTATTAGCACAAGATATACAACGTATACAACAGGAAGCTAAACGTTTAAATGGACGTTATGCTGGTGAGAAAGAAACTGAAATCAAACAAAAAGAAATTGATGTATTAACACAATGGAAATTATTACAACAATTTGTTGATCAACGAAAACGTTTATTAAATGATTATGAAGATTTACATCGATTCTTTAATTTAACACGAGATTTAAATATGTGGATGGATGGAATGATTAGACAAATGAATAATAGTGCTAAACCACATGATGTTAGTGGTGTTGATTTATTAATGAATAATCATCAGAGTTTAAAAGCAGAAATTGATGCTCGACAAGAAAATTTTACAATGTGTATTAATTTAGGTAAAGATTTAATTAATCGTCGTCATGTACGTTCATCTGATGTCAAAGATAAATGTGTTGAATTATCTATGTTACGTGATCGTCTTGACGATACATGGCATGAACGTTGGGAATATTTACAACTTATTCTTGAAGTTTATCAATTTGCACGTGATGCAGCTATTGCTGAAACATGGTTAGTTGCTCAAGAATCTTATTTAAATAATGAAGAACTTGGAGAAACATTAGATCAAGTTGAAAATTTAATAAAACGTCATGAACAATTTGAAAAATCTTTAATGGCACAAGAAGATCGTTTTAATGCATTACGTAATTTAACAACATTAGAAAAGAAACGACAACAACCACCTATTGAACCACGTCAAAGTCGTTTACCAATTTATTTAGAAGAATTTAAAACATGGGAAGAACGTGATACTGAACGACCAATAGGTGATAAATCAAAAATGAAATCAACAATAATAGAAGAAAAAACTATGACGGATGGTCATGATCGTTTATCAGGTAAACAACGTCCTAGTCAAGAATATGATACAACAACTGGTAAACAACGACGATCAGAATCAAGTACACGTTTACCAATAATTAAAGAAGGTTTCTTAACACGAAAACATGAATGGGAAGGATATGAACGTAAAGCAACACATCGTACATGGGAAAAATATTATTGTGTATTAACAAGCAGTCGTTTGTCATTCTATAAAGATGCTAAGCATTTAAAAACTGGTCGTCAAGTTAGTGATGATCTTATTTTAGATGTATCAGCTAATGTTGCACCAGCAGTTGATTATCATAAAAGACATAATGTATTTCGTTTAAAACTTCAAGGTGGTAATGAATATTTATTTCAAGCACGAGATAATATTGAAATGAATGAATGGATCATGACAATTAATAATTCGATTAATTCATCATCAATAACAAGTAGTGCAACAACATCACCAACAACACAAATTCCATCAATTGCTTTAACTTCACCACCAACAGCAAGTTCATCATCGCGACAGGTAACAACACCTGCTATGATATCAAGTACATCAGGTAATTAATTAAATTGAAAATGTTTTTTATTTCAAAAGAGACTGATGTTTTGTTTGATTTATTTAGGTGTTGAAATGTCTCAATCATCTTCGGATCAAGAACCAAAATCACGAACATTACCAGTACGTTCAAGTTCATCAGTTGAACCTGGTTCATCACAACAACCACCAGCTGTGAAAAAGAAATCAAATCGATTATTTTCATCAAAACGAAAATGAACAGAGAATGACATAATAATACAATTATAATAAACTTTTCTTATGTCTGATCAGGGTCTTTTCGTCGTGTGCTTTTTTTTCCTTTTCTTCTTCTTCTTCTACTTCTTCTTTGGTTTTTTCTTATCCCTCGATCATAATGATCATTATTCATCTAATGAATCGCGGTTTTTGAAATCATACTCATTTATAATACAGATAATGAAGAATTATTTCAAATAGAAAAGAAAAACACCTAGTCATTCTTTGTCTCTCGTTATACGAGATTAATTTTATCCTAAACTCTTCTTTATTTCGTAGTTATATTCAAAAAAAACGAAAATACTGGGCTCTCTTTTATTTCTATGGGTTTCTTTGTGTGACGCGTGCGTGTGTGTGTGTGTGTGTTTTCTTCCATTATTTACCATCATAATATTTTGCTGTGCTCAGATTTTTGTTTATGTAGATTATTGCATTTGTCTTTTTCCTTACTTATACATAGTTATCTCTTTGATTACTCTTTTTTTCTTCTTCTTCTTCTTCTCCGCTTTAACCCCTCATTATTTGAAAAAAACAAAGAAGGAAGACATTAAACAAAATTAGAAAAGTTAAAACTTTTCTTGTCTTTTTTATGGCTGTTACAATGGTTACTGTTATTGTGCGTTCTATTCGATGGTGATTTTGTTTTTTTTTACACTATTTTTTTCCTTCTATCTCACTCTTACTTGCTGCTCACATACGTGTGTATTTGTTGTTTCTTTTTTGCTTTTGCATTTGTCATTTCTCTCACTCTGCTGAAATTATATCATTATTACTTTCGAATAAGAAAATAAACAAAAAAACCCAAACAAAAAAAAATAATTATTATATGTCTTCAATAGAGTGTTACTGCTCAGTGCACTAACCTATAGAGAAAAAACAAATGTTTTATTATAAATATTTTTAATAAAGAAATGAAAAGAGACAAGAGGCTACGATACGTTTAAAATATACTCTATCCTAATGAACACATCAAATCATTTACGTATAAAATAATATTTTCATCTAAAAAAGTTTCCCGAACGCACGTTCGCTCAGAACGGCATACTCTGCACCCCTGGTGGACGAGTTCTTATTGCTCGGACTTTTTTATTCATCTTCATGAGATGGTAGTGACAGTTGTTTCTTTTTCAGTCTATCAATGTCTGTTTCACCTCTCTTCACCCTTTCATATTCAGGTCCATAATTAGCTCGATAGATCGAAAGACTTTCATTGAAATAACGAAGTGCTTCGGATAAGTTGTTCATGTTTTCATAATCTAGACCAATATTTCTTAAGCTTCGAGCAATGTTGATATGATCAGAAGACAATGCTTGACGATCAAGTTCAAGTGATTTAAGGTGGCACCGTAATGAATCTTCCATCATATCATACTTGGAATATAGGCATCCCATTGATGTCAAACATCGAGAAGTGACCTGATGATCCAATGTTGTGCAATTCGCCAATACAGATAGAGCTTGTTCATAGTATTTTAATGCTTTTTTTCGATTGTTATCCTCAATTAAATCAGCTATGATCATTAATGTTCGAGCAATACGAGGATGATTTTCACCCAATCTAGTTTTTTGAATAAGAAGTTTTTGTTGACACAAGTCTAAGGCTTTGCAAATCTCATTCATCTTTTTATAAATAGTAATGATCCAGCCGAGATGAATTGAAAGATCTGAATGCTCGAAAGGTAAACATTGTTCTTCCATATTTAATTGTTGCTGATAATAATCCAGAGCAATATCTAAGTTACCTTTCTTCTCATAAGTATATCCTATTATACCGAGGCATCGTGCTATATCAGAGTGTTGGTGAGGGAGAACATGCTTATACATCTCAAGAGCACGAGATAAATAAGTAAGAGCCATATCGAAATCTTCCTTATCTCTGTATACTGTTCCAATATTTTGGACTGTCCTTGCTTTTTGTAAATTATTACCAGTATAGAAGTTGACGTAAACTCTCAAAGCCTGCTGATAGTAATCGAGTGCTGTATTAAAATCACCTTTTGCTTTATAAATACCACCAATATTGTTCAGTGAACCGGCAATGTGAGGATGATTTGAAGGTAATTGCTTTCGACGCATCTCATAAGCTATCTCATAGTTTTTCAATGCTAAATTCAATTCACCTCTGATATTATGTACTGCACCAATATTATTATAAACAGCTGCAATATCAGGATGATCTCGTGGAAGTGATTTCAGTAACATATTAAAATACTTCCCAGCACGATCTGCTTGACCTAATTCATTCAACAGAAGTCTACCAAAATAAATAAGTGGTGTGTATTCTTCCATCTGTTGTTTTGATAATAAAAGATAGTCTTCTACTTTTTCTGCACCTTCATCAGTTGCATTCAGTTCTACTTTCCATACATTGGATGTACAATCAAAACAGACACAAACGATCTTAAAGAGTGAATTGAGATTAAACAGAATTTCTTCTTCATCTTCTATTCGACTTCTATCTCCAACATCAGCAAAAATCACTGTTTTCAATAATGGATTTGCTTCAATTTCAAATAAGACTGATGTAAAATCATTTAATGGGGGATTATTATGGATAAATCGAAGTGATACATTGATATTTCGTGATGTTGATAAAAATCCATTTGTTGAAATAGTTTTACCAATATTTTCTTTTATTTTCTCTAATTCTTCATTTGGAATTTGTGTTCCACGATACAAAGTTAATGTTTCATTATTTTTCAAAAGTTGATGTTCTTGTTCAATAGCTGAACATAAATCAATAATAAAGAACCGAAAAGTAAAGAGTAATTCAATATCTTCTGTTCGAAGTGCTTTATTTAATAGTTTATAAAGAAAACATTCATCTGTATACCATTCAATTGCTTTGTCATGGGTATAAGTATTTTGAAATTCTTCAATCTTCTTTAGTTCTTTTTTATTCTGCTTATAATAATCACGACACATATTGAGCATTTGCTTTTTTGATTGTTCATCTTGTGACATTTGTTTTAGAACATAAATTAACATTTGATGTAATAGAAATGATGCTGATTCTTGTGATAAATCTTTTAATGACTTTTGCTTTTGATTAAAAAGACTAAACGTTAATGTTTGTTTTTCAACCAGACTCATTTTTTCTTTAATTGATTCTAATAAATCATGTTGCTTAGTAAATATTCCAATAATTTTATTATATTTTTGCATCAATGGTTTATAATGTTGATGATTAGAACAAAAAATAAATATAGCAACCAAAGATCGATAACGATGACTTTGTAAAAGTATCTGTTGAGCAAAAGCACCAGAAATAATAAGAAAAATTTGTTCATCTTTAATTGATTTGATAAAATCAAGACATCGATCAAAATGAGAATAAAACCGGACAGCTGGATTGAGTTGAATTAACATAGATTGAGTGAGAAGATAATCATCTGAATCATTCATATTTCCATCAAGCCAAATCAATTGGATATCTTCTTTATTGTGCGGAACTTCGTTTGGAAGTAGATTTTGTTGTTTTTCATGCAAGGAGTTACTAGTAGCCATTATAACTAGTAATCACTTTATTATTACCTTGAAATAATTCTCAACAGAAATATTTTATCTCAGAGCCTTTCTATTTTGTGTTCAAGAAGCGAGACATTTTTTTCTTTCTACTTTTTTTCAACGTCGTCTAGCGGACAAAATTGGTGAAAGTGTTATATTAAAAGTGCTTCGAGTTGTGTCGTGAAAGTAAGTGTAACACTGTTACTTTTTCCCGGAATGAAATAATATTTTCGGTTCTTGTTTTTCTTACTCTACTTCAATATGCTATACATGTATAGTAAAAGAAGCCTTACACTCGCGTGTGAAGAATGTATAGGATCACACCTATGTATGTATACCAGCAATGTATATGTATTGTATAGGTAATTTTAAAAATAATAAACAGTAGCTATTTTATTGTATTTTTTCTTATACTGCCCAGACTATATAATCTTTGTCACTAGGCATGAACCGCACTCAAACAGTTTGATTTTGATGTGCTTTATTCAATGATTTTCTGTCTGAGTTTAAGTTAAAGATTAAAACTTGATTAACAATTGACGTTTCACTTTGCATTAGTTACATATACATATATGAAACACAAGTCTTTTTCTACTTACTTTTATATATATATAGATGCCAATTGAAAAAGACCCAAACGATTCTAACTGAGAAGCGAAATTGAAATAATGCTTATAGTACTGAAGCTTTCTCGCAATCTATGCTTTGCAGACATTATAAACATCTGATGCAATTTTCTGATGCTGTTGAGAGTGAGTGTTACATTCATCTCTCCACCTCACTCTCAAGATCAACTACACTTTTGTATAAAACATATCTTAAATAATCTTTACTTTTCTTTACAACCAATGAAAATAATTCTCTCACAAAAATAAAATAAAAGTTGCTAGTTTTGATATAAAACTATGCAGTATAATCATAACACTATTGATCACTATTCTATATGAAGTAGCAAGTATGCATTAATTAATGTTAGAGAATGTATGATTTTATTTCTATCAAAATACTAGTACTATTAAATTGATATTCATGCTCAATTTTGATTAGTAAATACTCATAGTACAAATTCAATTATCGTTTGTATTTTTTGAGATAAATCTGAATAAGAAATAATTTTTTTTTATTTATTCATAGTAATCTTTTTCGCTTCATATCAATAGAATATATTTATTGAGTAATCATTCAATCAAATATAAAATATTGCCTCTTAGAATAATCTAAATACGTTCGTTGAAATATCTTTTTTATCACATAGTATAATTGATGATAGTTATTTTCTTGTGCTTCACAATTATATCACTATTCTCAATTGGATTTAAAATCTAAATCATTACTTCGTAGATTAATTAAGCAATATCATCGCCATATTTCAATTGAATATGTGTGTAGTTTGATAGTGTTTTTCAATCGATTAATTATTATAAATCGTTATCATGATTTAGAATCTCTCATTCATCATAAACAACAATTTCATAAATCCAATATAAAAATAATAAATCTTAAACTATATTCTAATAGAGCTGAACATAGATTTTCGTTTTTAGAACAATCAACTGTTGAAATCGGTAATGGAAGTGAATGTTTAGCAATAGCATTATTTTATCTTTTTCCTCATTAGCAAACTTATGCGTAATAATGCATGTCTTCATCATAGAAATCTCTTGAATATATATATATTATTTGATATGATTATTTCAAATTTTCCTTATATTTCGGAAGATGAATTATCTCAATGTTTTCAAGAAATTATTCATCATATATTGAATGGATGGTTTAAATGGTTGATCGTAGTTTGACCGAATAGAAAACAACAAAAGGAAAAATATCGAATAAAAAAACACCGAAAAAAAGTGTAAAAAAGGAAACATGTCGAAAGAAAAAATGTCAAAGTTAGAAAAATATCGAAAAGAGATGTCTTTAATAGACAGTAATTATAATCACTTGTAAGACGGCGTGACGAATCTCAAAGTGAGACCAATTTTGAATAAACTTCTACTTCTGATTTCTGATTTTTATCAGAAATTTACGACACTACTTCAGTCTACGTTACTCAGAAATCAGAAGTTTACTTTTTGGATTTGAAAATTTTGAAAACTT